ATGGATAGCCGATCCTAAAAACCGATCCTCAAAAAATTTAAATTCGACGTTTTCGAACATAAGCAACACATTGGTATCGAAAACTCAAAAAACAATTTTTACTTCGGTCTTTTCTACCCCTATTTCATATATAATTCTTTTAAATTCGGTTGATTAGACTTAGCTTTATATGCGATTAAAATTATGGACCTTTGATCGCGTATAAAGCTGGTTCTAATCAACCAATGTCATCAAAAACTCAAAAAACAATTTTTACTTCGGTATTTTCTACCCCTATTTAATATATAATTCTTTTAAATTCGGTTGATTAGACTTAGCTTTATATGCGATCAAAATTATGGACCTTTGATCGCGTATAAAGCTGGGTCTAATCAACCAAATCTTAAAAAATTATATATGAAATAGGGGTAGAAAAGACTGAAGAATATAATAAAATTAGAAATAGATCAATATCTCAATATTTGCGGAAGTTAGAGCAACGACGGACATTTCTAAAAAAATTTAAAATTTTTTTAAAAAAGAACCCCTTTACCGATCATCGCCAAATTCAATACCAACCTTCCTTGAACGAGACTCTATCGATTAAAAAAAAACAGCTCGATATCTTAATATTTGCGGAAGTTAGAGCAATCACGGACATTAAATCTGCACATACACACATACAGACATGCGATTTTAATGCGATATTTCGACATTTTAGAACACTCTGAACATATTGGCAGAAAAAACTCAAAAACGAATCTCTTCGTTGGTTTCTTCTACTCCTATTTCATATATAATTCATTTAAATTTGATTGACTAGACCCAACTTTATGGGCAATCAAAGGTTTATATATGAAATTCACGAAAACAAAGCTTCCTCTATGAGAAAGCAAAATAATTTTAATAAAATTTTTTACAAATTATTTTTGTAAAATATTATTAATGTGGTCAAATAGGAATGTTCTTATAAATATCTGCAAAAATAATTTAAAAAATTTTTTTTAAATTATTTTTTCAAAATATTATTAATGTGGTTAAATAGAGCTTAGGTGTTCTTATTAAGAAACTTTTATATAAAACATTTTTTATACCTCGAATATTTTTTTAGATATATCGAGAAAAGCAAAAAGCCACTCTACACTATGAAAAATGGTTACACCCCTTAAAATCGTTTTTGGGCCGCAACTAAAAATTTCTAAATTTGTCTATTTATCTCCCCTACATGTGTGTTAAGTCTCATCAAAATCAGAATTTTCGGGTTTGCGAGGTTCTCTTGTAAGTAAATTATTACTGGTGTGCATAATTGAAATCTCAAAATATATATAGCGATAAGTCAATTTACTTGCTAGCCAAAGCTATCGTCATGGCGTCAGAGGTATATAAAGTTTGCGCTTTCTGCGACTTGACCAGAGCCGCGCGGACTTTCCCATCTGCTAATCCTGTAATGATTGAACCGTCCATTGGCCAGATCAGGCAAGTCACCGCGGCACTTTGTCGGAATTTGTTGCAAATCACCTTTTTGTCACCCCTGTAAAATAATTTTTGTTATTAATAATAAATACATAAACAATTTATTTAGGCTTTTTTTTCTTTGGAAAATTGTGTTAATAACTACCAATCTTCCCCTATTTTATATACGTATACAATGCAGTCGGTTTGGCCAACTGCAATCTTTGTGGACTCTGGGGAGAAGGCTATTCCCTTCACCATATAGCTCTTCTTTCCAAACTGGACAAAAAAGGATATTGCTATTAACATATATTATTCTACAACTCTTAAATTAAGAAATTTTAAACTCGCAAAAACAAACGACGGTATCAGTAAACTAAAAGTACAATTTTAGGAATTAGAAAATGAATACCTTGGGATCAATGGGCTTAGTGGAAAATCTATCGCGTTTTGCACCATTCTCATCGAAAAGATAAATAGAACGATCGGCAGATGCCACAGCTAACTTTAAATTGTTTGGCGACCATGCAATGCTAACCACCCTGTTTTCCAACTCCTAACATACAATATATAAATATATATATATAAATATAGAAATATTCAACTTTTATACATCATGCATTTTATTTAAATATGTGTATATTTAAATTTATATATTAGATGTGTAAATTAATTCGCTACCTTTACATTCAACTTATAATTTTGTTTTAACATTAAATATTATTTTCTCGTCCTTTTACGGTTTGCAAGTGGAGACCTTCATGGTTTTCAAAACACCATATTTGGCGAAGTAAATGAGAAATCTCATAAAACAGTAATACATAGAACATACAATGACGTCCGAAAAACGTCTGTGACCCATAAAACGTGTAAAAAATGGTATCGGAGTTTTCGGAACTAAGCGAATCATTTTACAGTAATGATATAATATACTAACGCTTGCAAAAGAATCGTCTATGCTTCGGACTGGGAAATTCTCCCTCATCTCGAATCATTCACCAGACTTAGCCCTGTCGGATTATCAACTATTTCGATCGCTTCAACATCACCTGATACATGTTTCAAGATAGTTGAAGAAGTCCGAAAAAGTCTTGAAGACTTTATCGATAATTTTCTTCCGCCAAGATATTCGTCAAATGTTCGATATAAATGGGGTAAAGTCATGTATAGAAAATAGTGGAGATTATTCCATCAAACTCTTGCATTTGATTTTTTGTAAACAAATTTTGATTTTTGTAAAAAAAGGCACCAAATTAATTTGCACATCTAATATACAGGGTAAGTTATTTTAATTGATGCAGGCAAATATCTCGAAAAATATGGAAGATACGAGGGTCAATACGAAAGTAATGCCTCCTAATTTTTTTTCTCAGAAAATGTTATTCTTGGAACTTTGGTGTTTACATGAGTTTAATCTTACATCTTTATGGTGTACATTTATTATTTTTCCACATAATATAATCATCTCTTTATATACATTTTTATCATCTGTGAAATAAGACGTGCAGTATACTCGTGCGGTAAAAGTCTTTGCTTTTATTCTTGAGGACTCTCAATCAACTTTTCTTTAGCTCATCGTCACTCATCTGTAGAATTTGACCTGACAAAAATCTGAATAAGGTTTTTCTTCTTCATGACAACGCACGGCCCCACGTAACACCAGTCTGCGCGGATGAGGAAGGCAATGGACTT